TTTCCTCTTTATCAGATTACTAAATTAAGATCAGGCAGAATCATTAGCTGTATAATCCTAGAAAGTTTTTGGAAGATCTAGGGCAAGTTGAAAATGGAAGCCATTTTGGATGCAAGAAACTATGGCGATTATCATGAAAGTTCAATGCTGTGTCAGTTTTCATTCAACCATTTTGCGATATGCAATTAGCGCCTATGCACTGGTTACAAAATCTGCAAACATTTCATGAACATAAAGTGTTTGGCTTGTATCATGCCTTACTATTCAGCATGATAATCATATAAAGGCTGCAGAAGTGTGGCCAAACAAAATTCACTCATCATGATCAAATTTGACATTGACATATTCGGTGTCATGCTTTGCTGGAGTCTGCAAATTTTAATGAGATTCAAAACATTTGACTACAAAGTGAAAGAGTATCTCCCTCTTTAATGTCCTCAAGAAGTAAACAGTCAATATATGTATATCCCAAAGGGAAAAAGGAGCCCAAATAACTCAAATAGCTATCAACTTACGAGATGAAGTTTGCAATTTAAAAGTTGAAGTTTCAGAACCTCAAAGACAATGTGGACAATTTTCCCCTGCAGATCTGAATTTGGCATAAATTTGTAGGTCGCTCAAAAACACCCAACACCCAATCTCCATCTAAAATGATGCCATAAATGAAATCAAGCACCTTCAGCTCCCTACAGAATGGTATCACTTCTCTGCCAATCTCCCTGGGGCCATTCACCTGCAACCTGTTGGTTACTTGTAGCCAGAGAAAGGAACACCCTACTTGGCAGTGGTTGTATATTTTCTCTTCTCAGCTGGCTAGTAGGGGCCTGGGTGACCCCAATAGGGTCACGTTTAGTCTAGACGTTTAATTAGCAGAGGAGTGACCTTGGTTACCAGACCTGCGGCTGGGCTGGGGTTGAGAGAAGCTTGGGGCTTACAGACCCATCTAGGACTGGTCATGCTTCATTGCCTGCTAGCTCTACTACATTTTCTCCCCTCTTTCGTATCCCAGGGAGACAAGAGTCTTACATGTAGTGTACCTCCTTGCACTGTCAGAAGATTCCACTGATCTCTGTACTTTAATTTAAGCCAGGGAAGTGTACACTAATGTCATATTTTCTGCCTTAGTAATCTCCCCTTCTCAATGCATCTTCATAATCCACATCTTTTTCTCTATCTGCGTGGGTCTCTCTCTCCCTTTTTTTCTCTCTCTCAACCACCCCAAAAAGAGGGAACGAAACACACTCTCACACACGCACTCTCTCTCTCTCTCCCTCTCCCTCCCCCTCTCTCTCTCTCTCTCTCTCTCTCTCTCTCTTCCTCCTTCTCTTCTTCCTTCTTCTCTGCATCCTCCTTTTCTTCCCCATTTTCTTCTTATTTCTCCTCGGTTCCCAAACTGAACACGTAAGAAGACAACCCAAGGAGAGAGAGGATCTTCCTGACTCAAAGACCACAACAACTGCTTCCTCAGACATGGCTACACGCGAATAATTAGGGGAAACAAACCACCCAACGGGTAACTTTACAGGCGGGATTAACAACATGAAACCAGAGAAAATGTTCTCAAAACCGCCGTGATTCCATCCATAAACTAATTATGCACATGTGAGAAAAGTTACACATGCAGTCCCACATTAAAGGGATCGGGTAACTTTGTCCCAGATTCTGAAACAAAATCCTGCATTTAGCTCATGCTGCAATGACAATTATAAACCTTTAAGTCAGTCAGGAACCCCATGACTTTTACAAGCCGATCGCCTGTTTGATTATCAAGATATTTATGATTGGAATTACAAATTTTGAAAACCGTTTGCCAAACGGTTCTCATAACACTACAGCCTATTGGGGAAAACGAGTATCGTAAAACTGGTCACTCAAATGATCATTTTGAAGCGCAATTTTTTTAGGGCTTCAATATTACACCTTTTCACAGACACTGATAATACGTAGGGCCATGCATCTCAGATTCAACGTTGTTAAACAATGCCTTTCAGTTAGGAAGTGGAATGGTATTAGAAACTTCACAAAAGGTAATCATTGCTGGAGCATATATCATACAATCCTCATTACAATCCACATTTAATGACGCTCAATGCAAACCCAGGAAAATCCTATTCCCACAGACATGCTTCTCTATCAAATGATATCTATATATAAACTACAATGAGAAGGGCTTACATACCTCAATAACTTCAATACCACTCCCTCTGTACCACTCCTTCTAATGTTACACTTTTTGAACCTCAAATCTTTTTATATATTTTTTTCAAATTCTATTGTCCCGGAAAAAACTTTGAGTCGACCATGATTATTTATTTCCTAGGGCTTTTCGTGATGTTCAACCAAGCTTGAATCTTCTCACAACAAAAAAATACTCGCTTCTGAAACGGGTTACCGAGGCCTTCCTAATCTGCATTGTAAATAAGAATGTTCATGTCCTGACTCAACATGCCCGCCCAATAGCTTGACGATCAGACATGGGAGCTAAATAGAATTAAGTCTATCACTCCCGTGAGACTTTAGTAACATGCTTTGTCTGCGCTAGACTGATTTTACTGGTAATGGTAGGGTTAAGCGGATCAGGGAAAATTGGAATGGGATAGATTGAGCATGGCATTGATTTGGTCTTTGTGAGAGTATGTTTTTCTGGTAGCGGGGTCTTGGTGGGGTGGTGGAGGTGGTGGTGGGGGGGGGGGGAAGGGGAAGAGGCTATGTTGTAATGAAAAAGAGATCTCACCAACAGGTGGCTGTCTCGTGCATGAAAGAGCCTGTTGCATTAATAACAAAACATTACCACCATTAAAAAACCCAGCGAAAACAGACCTGGCTGACAGTGATTTTGCTCACTAAACTCTATGGAAATCAAAATGAAATGAAAGAGGTTCCATTGAATAGAATGTTAGTCCAAAGGTTGTTGTGCATTATATCTTGCAACACTATAGTTTGATTTATTAAGACTCCTTGTGATTAATATCTCATCCTTTACCTTCCTAATAACTGAGATTGACAGGTTTCCTTGCAGACAAAAATTGTTCCAAATAAATAAATAACATAGTAAAAGATACTGGACTTCCTTAGCTCATAGTTGCCAGCATTTTCCTTTGCACAAACAAGTTCAGCTTGTACGAAAACTAGCAACAATCCCTCGAAGGAAATCGCTTCTTCAAAATCAACAGAATGACCGAAATAGCTTATTTTCCTCCAATTCCAACAAGGAAGTACTTCCATGAAATGACGAAAAAGATATACGATATGAAAAAACATAAAGATCATATCATATCAAATTTCTTTGATAAATCCTGCTTATCACCTCATAGCAAGTAATAATGTCAAACTAATGAACCTACTGAATATAATAGCCCTACCCTTTTTATCTGAACATATTTGAATAGGATGATGGCGGGCTTAATTATCTTACATATCAATACATTGACAAACCTTTCCCAACAGGTGAAAATCAAAAACAATTGTTGCTGCAATGAATTTTGGGCCTATTCTGAGTTTTTGAAGCGAGAATAAATTACAAGAGCGCAATTTCTTTTTGTGAGTTATACATGTCACACTGGTCATGGTTATATTATCATATCAACACTAGTTCCCCATAATTATTTTGCACCTTAAAAAGTGTGCAGGTTCAGTTGCCACTGTATCAATTTAATTGTTCCAGCAAAGTATCCAGCTAATTAATTTCTTTTAACCTTGGCAAGTTGGCAATTGGATGGAGCCTTCACGAGTCATGGCTTTCCAATTTGATCTCATATCCCGCTGCAGCCTCGTCATTTTTTTGTTATCCTTAATCTCATTAATCTGTATGCAAATTGGCACTACACTGCTGGAATAGAAAGAGATATGACCATTATGATATTACATTAACACAATGCTCAACATTATGAGGGAAAGCATTGTATTGCCAACGATATGCTAGGTCTTTCCTCATAAATTACCAGTATATCCATGAACTGCATTAAATTTAGATAGTAAAAATAAGACGAGGTTTAATTCTGGTAAGGGGAAGCAATATGTTTGCAAGCTCTTTTTTATGCACATGTCGAAGAAAATCAAACATGTCGCCATTACTAGTCGCCACGGAGATGAATAGTAAGAAACATGCTCTTGAAATGCTCTCATATTTTCTAATATACCTAGAAATTTGGGCCAATGCCTGTACACGTTGACATCCATGACATCCACCTTGTGTACAGATGTTTAATAGGTATTCATGATATTCAACACGATTTATTAGTAACATATTTTTAAAAAAATCTTGATGGTTCTAAAATGTTGTACTGCTTTATAACTCTTATTTCCTACCTGACAAACCTTTTAGAAAATCTTCCAGACATTTTACTTAAAAATGAAATTCTACAACCCCTACTCAATATGATCTGTAGTGTCCTCTGTTGAGAACAAAAGGGCGTTGATTAATCTCGTCCAACAATACGCTCATGCCTTTTTATGGCTCGCAAAGGAAAATACTTTCATTTTCTATAAAGATGGGTATATGGATATACATGTTTGAGATGTCAAGTTCAATACCGAAGTATTCAAATGAGCTATGTAATAACAATAATCATAATAATAATAATGATAATCATAATACCGTAATGATTATAATAAATATAATAATAATAATAATAATATGTCTTGTTTACCCAGGGTAGCCTCATCAGTATTAATGCTGTTCTCCCTAAGGGCCCTGCAATCATATCGAACAAGAGAAAAACATATCCAAGTTATTGCTATTTGCGCAAAATAGCTTGGCTCTCGATATGTAGTCAGATTGGGCTAACCAAACTCCCCTCCTGACCTATTCCGCCCACGATGCAATGTAAGGATAGGTAAGCAACCCACGATGTATGTAAGCATAGGTAAGCAGCCAGCACACGGTGTAGACGTACAAATACACCTTTATACTGATGCTACCTAACTAGACAGAGCACTGAGGAGTTTATTGCTTTATGACCGTACGAGACGAGTACGAGTACGCCTCTGAATGATTTTACCTGCATGGGGTACGAGGTGTTCGTCTTCCTCGGCTTAGCTCTCCTCTGTGGAGTCAGACTTGACAATCCAGATGAAGCAAATGACGCAAATCACTCCGTAATCGAATCCTCAAAAAGAAAAGCTTTGTCAGTTCGACCGTCGTCCACCGATTCTCATTTTGTGAACAGGAGCTCGAGCACCAGACATACAGACAGGCAATGCCGAATAAAATGCGACGGTGTAACTATATTATAAAAAAGACCATGCGCTTTGGCAGCGTTCGATCATGTACTCGATTTCATGCACAAAGAATGCAACGCTTACCAGACTATGTGCAGGGAAGGTGCCCACGTGAAGACTGCGTCCGTCAGAGATAAAAGGGAAAGAAAAGAAAAAATTGAATCGCACTTCCTCATAGGTGCTCGAGTCCATGTATAAAAAACCACACACACAGACGACAGTGAAGCCAGACGGGGAGAGAGAGAGCGATAGATATTCAATAAAACTATGCTTGCATGGTTTTTGTCTTCTGTTACGACTCACTGGAAACTGAAGCTACGAAGCATGAGATGTGAGAGAGAGATAGAAGAGACACAACGTGCTGCTGCTGAATGTATTTGTTAACAATAAAAAGCAGAACGTTTGTAATACCGGTGTGCTTCTGTAGGTGTGCTCTCTGTAGGCTAATAAAAAGCTGATTGGTGAGCTGGCTGGCTGGCTGGCTTGGTGACTGTCTGTACTACCAAGCGGATGGCTGGCCGTAGATACGACGGTGGTGGTATAGTGGTGCCGGGTATGTGCAGACACACTGCACACATACTCCAGAGCATTCATGTATGCAATGCTATACTTGGGAACCAGTCACACATTGGGGTGTAGTCTACTCGCTGGAGACCCTTCCAGAGACTCCTCTAAAAAACACATGTTATACGATCAAACCGGTCTTAGTGGCCACTTCTCTATACAGTTTACCTGTGTATAGTGGCCATGTGTTACTTCTCCCTTGAGAAAGTGGAGAGAGACATGTGTGTGGTAGATCATGTTTAGAGAAAGGCCACCTGCCTACAGTGGCCATTTTTTGTTTTCCATGAGTGACCTTTATAGACAGGTTTGACTGTATTTCCATTCACACAGGGAGGGGGTGACCCCCAGATTTCTACAGACCAAATCTAGGGTTTAAATATTGGGCTTGTATTCTCACTTGACTTGAATGTACTGCAGAAAATTCACACAGGCTTCATCTTAAAGATATTTCTTACATTCAGTTACAGCAATATACTGCACCTAAAATCCTACACTGTGCAAGAAAACCACCAAAAAAAACTCTATATTACATCTCAGCTCCACTGAAAAGAAGCAAAAACCATTACAACTACTCGAAAGTCACCATATCACTATTATAAGCACATGATTTATTGCGTCTCCTGTTTGAGTGCAAAACCAAAAGGTTGTTAACCCCAGATAAAGGGATAGTATTTTATAACATGTTCTGGATATCAGCAGACAATATAATCCATTATAATACTACTTGTAGTAATTGAAAGATTTAATATGACAAATCTTAGGTTGAAAGCCAGACAGGCATTAATTAGACATTAGATATAAATGATATAGATTAATGTCCTTCTTGTCCCAAGAAACACATAGTTCCTCATCCAATCAAATATCCCATCTGTCAACTACAACAACAACAGAATTGTATTGTATAGACTAAAATAAAGACAACAAATTATCATCTGTAACATACCTCAGCACTTCATGTAAAACAATGGATGCTTAAGGAGTGTACAAATTCCTGCCATGATATCAAGAAACCTATATCAGTACGAGAATATACACTTGACGTACGTGGCCTGTACTTATAGCGAAGAAGAAGAAAACGTCTCCTTAAAATCCTACAATGTTTGTTCTTGAAAAACACCCAACTACCGAGACTACGTATGCTAAGGGGGTGCCGAAAACGCTCCCCCGAAATGTGAAACAAACATGCTCCCCACTAGAGTTCTGAGACAGAAGAACAAACACCCCCATCCATTGCCTTCAGCTGACAGTGACCTTTGAACCCAGGCACAACCCACAATTCCATGTTCTCAATGAGGAGGCAAACATTGTCTAGATGTAGAAACGCAGACAATGGCAAGGTGGGCTCGGCACGATCTTCTTTGATCGTAAATTACCGTTAATCTCTTCGCAGTGATATACAATAATGTTTTTTACGATAAATCTAACCACAATTGATTGGGACCGTCTTGCTCGGCGCGTTGGCCTATTTCTGTCAGTGATTTTTTTCTAATGCAATAATAATGATTCTCTTATATTTTATTGGTTGGTGAGATGCAAAATACCCTAATTTTGCTCAGTCAGTCTATGGGATTTTTTTATAGACAGAGCAACGCCCTCCCTACCATCTCAGTAAGCTGTAAGTGTCACTCATTTGCATATATGGAAAGTATTTTATACATTGAATGTGTATATAATTAGCATTTAAATGGCAGATCATACTATTCTACATTATGAGCTTTGCATGGTGTGACAAGTCCAAGCAAAACTTCAATAATTTTTGGTAAAGGGTATAACGTATGCTTATTGGAAGTAAAAAGGAGTGGATAAAGATCAGTATAGATGATAATCTCAAGAAAATAGGATTCTTTCTGATTAGTGACAACTTGTGGAGGAGGACTATTCTGGAGTTCAAAAGATAGGAGGAGGAATCACTTTCAACGTGGAGAGTAAGATAGAGTCAGAGAGATAGAGAGGTAACATGAGTAAAGATAGACGAAGCCAATATTTGAACAAGGAGAAGATAATTTTAAGATTCTTGATGATTCTGCGTGTGTCCGCATTCTATACTCTACACATACTTTACAATTACATCTCCATCTGCAACGAAGGCCGACTGAAGAACCTTACAAGTGCGTAATTCAACCACCGGTAAGGGGTGGTTATTACCCTATCTCTAGGTACACAATGGACTGGAGAGAGTGGTTGGAGAATAGAACAACGAGGGAACAAAGAGAAGGAAAACAAAACAGAGGCCAGACATCGTGTTTACCTTAAGATTATCAGATTGCACTCACTTGAGGAGAGAGTGAGAAAAAGTGAGGAAAGAGAAGAAGAAATACGGAAAGAAGGCCTGTCTTCATCAGCTCGAGTTGCCAAATAACCTGCTATTTTAACTATCTTGATCGCAAATTAACTAAACCCCCCACAAACAAATAAAATTAGTAAACAACAATGAATTGTATGGGTTTTTTCCAGTTGTGTAAATGACAGTTGCCAAAAACGATGGTTTTCAAAATGGTTTTGGGGCTGTGTAAATGGGCCAAGAGAGAGAGAGAGAGAGAGAGAGAGAGAGAGAGAGGGAGGGAGGGGGAGAGAGAGAGAGAGAGACCAGTAGATACAGAGAGTAGTAGAGAAGAAATATAATGGATGGCGAGGGTGTGGCAGAGAGAAATAGAAAGAAAAGAGAAAGAAAGCCAAAAATAGAGTGGGGAGAGAGAAACAGAGAGATGGATAGGAGGGTTAAACAATGAAGAGGAGACAACTAATAGGTACAGATTGAGATGATGGGGAGGAAGAATATAACTACACAACATCTCAGAATTTATACAATCATCTAAAAGGAGAAAAGAAAAAGAATGACATAATAATCAGAACTGAAAAGCAGGAGAATCATCCAATTTACAGACTACAGGGGGGGGGGGAGAAAAAAAGTAGCATTCCCTACATGAATGACTGATAGAGGCTAGAAATATCATCAGTTTGGAGCCAGGAGGGCATTAACTCATATTTTTACACAGAGTTAACTCCCTTCTGGCTCGCTCCGAACAGACGATGATTACATCCTGCAACTGGGGTGTGGAATCAAATTCTATTATCGTTTCATTTCATCAATTGCCTATTCAACAGGTTTTCATTAAACATGCTTTTTACTCATTTATTCTGGCCTTCCTTTTCACAGAGGGAAGTACTAAAGATGGGGAGACAGAGAAAGACGAAAACCTATTGATATGTAGTAATGCTTTATTCAATGATGAGTCAGACTGAGTTGATCGCAAAACGCCCTTTACTAAAGCAATAAGCTGTTCTAGATATCTCCCACTCCTCGATTTTTCTTTCTTCCTTCTTGCATCTTGTGGTTTATCGTGTTATCTTAAACATTGTCTGCTACATTCGCAAGGACTGCTCCGATTGGATGATCTCTAGCGACGAAAGTGCAACAGTCGATTTCAAACCGTTCATTCCCTGACTTGCTGTTTCGAGTGTTCATCTGTAAGCTTAGCCTAGAGCATCCAGCTCCCATGATCCTCGGCGCGGGTACCTTGGCAACCGTTTCACCAAGACACTAACTCCATCAACCGAAGTGAAAAAAACATTGGGGGCGGGAGGGGTAAGCTCCAGAAATTAATTGAAAACAGCTGCTCCCATCTGTCAAACAATTTGAAAACAAAAAGCATGACAGGGGGTTCTTTTACATTTCCATTTTGAAATGAATTTGAAACGTAAATTATGTTTGGTGTCCTTTGGGGCGGATAGTCACGTAGCGAACATTCTGGCATGTACCAAGCCGGCCTCCTTAGAGTATTATAAATGGCGGCACTACCGTTGTTCTAAGTCTAACTCCAAGAACACACGACTTGTAAGAGGATGGGATCAACAACAGAACCTGTTCCTTGACATGGGACTACAGAAATGATACATAATACAGAATATGACATTACTAGGAACCAGGGCTGGACCAGTATGATAGGTCCAGAGCCATCCTAGGTTGAACAAATATCTGACCCGTTCTTTTTGCTCACATACAGATTGTGCAATCAAAATATTACACTGGGAGTACATGCACGGTGAACGTAGAATATGAAATTGATACACCATTACCAGATTCTTTTGTTAGATATTTCCTTGTATCTTAAAATAACTGTAAAAAGAAAAACTGCAATCTGCAAATCAGATGTTCCGGTACCTCGTGATTCCAACAATACAATCTCAAAACAGGAACAATAGATTCCTCTTTTATACAAACTCCCCTGTCACTCCACTTTCAATGCATAGCACACGGCTGTGTTATTACAGTGAAATCACCATTGAGTCCTGTTGCTAGGCAACCGACACAGAAGCCAAACTCGAATGACAAGTGTGTGAAAAGTTAGCCGAGGAACCTGTTAAAAACAAGCTCATTTGCACCCCCTCCTTTACCCCACATAGATCAATCAAACACAGAACTATCAACATAAGACGAAATGCCAGTCGGCCGCTGAGAGAAAACTGGGGAGAAAGAAAAACAAGAACTCTTCCGTTTCCGTCCTCCCACAACATTTCTGGATTGCGTTGTTATCTAAATAACCTAGCCCTAAAGAGGGCACCACTTTACTACACATTTTCTACATATAGATCAAACCCATAACTTAAAATTGATACAGAAGATGATACAAATATCTCATTATAATTGATCTTCACATTGCATAACTGTATCTTAAGGCACAAAGGTTGAAATGGTGTATTGTTCCGTGCTTCCTTCGGACAATCTAAAAAACAATATCAGTCTGTGTGTCTTTGTCTCTCTATTTTTCTTCCTCCTTTTCTTTTCAGCTCAACATCCTTCTCTTTCTATCTTCCTGAAAAAACTTTTTGTAATTACTTGGGACTGTTGTCTATACCTCCCCTCCCCCTTTTCTCTCCCCTCCCCCTTTCTCTCCCTCTCTCCATCTCTGACTTCTCTTTCTGTCAATCTGGGCAAATTTCTCTCTCTCTCTCTCTCCCTCCCTCCCTCCCTCCCTCCCTCCCTCCCTCCCTCCCTCCCTCCCTCCCTCCCTCCCTCCCTCCCTCCCTCCCTCCCTCCCTCCCTCCCTTTATCTCTTCCTGTCTATCACTGACACAAGAGCTCATCAGGGTTTCTTGAACCAGTTCTTTTCTCTCCATCTGTCCATCCCCTCTCCCTCTTTCCCTC